CTTTTTTAATTCTTTTTCTTTAATTCTTTTTTAATTTTTTTAATGGACTTTTATTTATCAGACGTTGTGTTGTGTTCACCTTCTCAAACAAGCTAAAAGTAATTGATTATCTAATACTTATTCAGTTTGATTTGAATGGGGCTTGCTGGTTTCCTCTTAGTTTTGTTTTCCCTCCTCCTGAGCACTCACACTTCCCTTGGGCCTTATCTGAATGTACAGATGCTGTGTGCCTCTTAAAGGTCATACAATGCAGAATATCTACATTGAGGCGGCTGTGTGAATTTTCCCTTTACGATCTCACTTCTTCTTCTTTTTTTTTTTTTTTAATTTTTTAATGGACTTTTATTTATCGGACATTGTGTTGTGTTCACCTTCTCAAGCAAGCTAAAAGTAATTGATTATCTAATACTTATTCAGTTTGATTTGAATGGGGCTTGCTGGTTTCCTCTTAGTTTTGTTTTCCCTCCTCCTGAGCACTCACACTTCCCTTGGGCCTTATCTGAATGTACAGATGCTGTGTGCCTCTTAAAGGTCATACAATGCAGAATATCTACATTGAGGCGGCTTCACCTTCACAGACAACTTCATCTCTCTGTGTTTCAGGTTATTCTGCAAACTGGACAGTAGCGTTTGCTTGTCTTTGTAAAGCATGTCAGAATGGAGAGAGGATGAATATATAGCTTAAGACGTTCATGATTCAAGAGTGGAAGATATCTTTTCTAGGTGACACTGACCCTCCCAACACCACTTGTCAAGTCATCTGGTCCACATATAAGAAAGTAGCTTGCCTCCAAAAGGATGGTGATAACGCTTCCTCTTTTGGAAAGAGTCCTGGCTTTCCTGCCAAATGCTCACATACTGCAAAATGATTTGACTCCACAGATTGAAAACATTATATAAGTGTCTATTCATATCACATTTTGCATTGTATGGGTTAAATGCCATAAAATCTTCTCCAATTGAACTTTTTTTTTTTCAGTTTTAGGTGTCCTGTTAGTCTAATTGCATGGCCTAATACTAAAAGTTTTTACTCTGACTGGCTCTCTAGAGTTTATGTGAATCTTCAGCAGACTCCAAAGTGCTAAATAATATCTGTTTGTTGTTGTTGTTGTTTTGTTTTTTTTATCTTGAATAGTATTCATAAAGAGTAGCAATACAACTTTATCTAAGCAGAACTGACTGGCATAAAGAGCAAAATGAGATGCTGCCTCTCAAGAGGTAGAAAAAGAGATAGGACAGATAGGGGTAAGAACATTAAAAAGACTTATCTAATTCAAACTGTTGTTACGCATATAGAAGACATGGGAGAAGACAGGAAAAGACAGAGCAGCAGCAGATCACAAATGTCTTGACCATGAAGAGTTTTGTGTCTAGACTGGTTTTCCGAGGAAATGACGCTCGTTACATTTGTATTGCCCATTCTTTCTGATACATGTTAATCTAGTGGTCGATTTCAAACAAATCTGACAGCCAGGAATACTCTTGAGAACATAAAATAGCTACAATTTTGACAAGAACTTCTGCGGGTAGGAGAAAGGTAACACCAGTCAGAGTCCTACGGAGGGAAATCTGCAGTGAAGATTCCACAGAATCCATGAACTCATGAGAAGAGTCATAGATATTTCATATCTAGAAAATTTTATTTTTATTCATATTGAAAATCATTATCCTCTCTACCAACAGGCCTTGGTAGCAACAGGCTACCAAGAGGATGTTGAAGACTTTTTTCCCTTTTATTTATGGTTCCAAAAGGAACTAGATGAGACACAGGAACTCATTTCTTAAGAGGATTTAGCAGTAATCAGATGGCAGGCAATGCATAGATTTAGATGACAATGGCCTTAATTTAATTTCTATTAGACAGACACACAGCCCAGTGCATCGGTCCTATTCATGTATTTTATTATAAAATCATATTGCCTAATACTGCAAGGGGAACAAAAAATTTCATTTTAATATATATACATATATTTTTTAATTTTGCTTTGTTCTACTTTGGAATGAAACCTGGAAATTTCAAAATGCTTTATGGCCAAAACATCTTAAAATGATTGATAATTTTCTTGATAATTCTTAAAATTTGTTTTTCATTTTATTTTTTATATTTATTTATATATACATATATGTCCATATTTGCACAGCTAAGCTAGAAAAAATATTAATGTTCAAAACCAAAAATTCAAGATATTGATAAAATTAAAAGTGGTTGTCTAAAGCAGAAATCTGTTTTATTTTCACAGCTATGTTTCTGGCTAAATAAACACAATTTATTAGTTTTTTAAAAAAAGAAAATGAACATTTTATTTTAAATTTTTATTTCATGAGTTTTTATTCCATGAAAGATTTTTAACTAGCATTAGCAATGACATAATCCTAAATCTGCAGGAGGTTGATGTCTTCTCAACAGCTGCATGTGCGTGACATGTGCAGCACAAGCTGGCAATTGCTGGTAAAAATTCTTCTATTCTATTCTAAAAATTCTATTTCCCTAGAATTCCTTCATTTGGTGGCACATGAAGTATTAGTCTGGCTTGAATTGGGCAGCAGGAGAAAGAGAGAGGAATCAAGGAATTATTTGATTTCATTCTCCTGCAGACAAGCTGCTCTGTTAAAATTAATAGCAATATCTGCTCTTTAGGAGAAAATGGGTGTTTTCAGTTCTTTTCCTTGTAGGGCAAAAAGTTGATGCAGATGGAACAAGACCAACAGGACCAGAAAACACAGGAAAGGGACAGCGGTCACAGCAGTTGCACCACAAGCAGGTGTGACACCAGTGGTGGTGACAGCAGAAGAGCCAGCACCCCACCAGCACCCTAACCCCCACCAATTGGCATAGCTTGTTATCCAACACACAACTCTGCTTTTTCTAAATTGTTCAAGGTAAAGCAAGAAATGGCAGCAGGGAGCCACGGGCTGGTGAGACTCGCTTGCCTCTAAGAACTTGCTCAGTCTGACTTAGGTTAATGCTCTTACTGGCAATTTATATTAAGACATATAATAAGATCTCCATAATAGTTTTCCAGTGCCCAGGAGAGTTTAAATGATGAGTATAAAAAATGTAATTCCATCAGAATGGGAAATATTGATGTGGCTGTAAATTGCAAGATGAAATTTCAGCACCATTGTGTCCCAGCCCAAATCATTCCCCTTGTCCACGTGTTCTCTCGGTAATCTAATAAAATCTCAGAAATAAAGAACTAAGTAACCTGTTCAGAGAAAGAAAAATCAGTCTTAGGTCGTTGACTACTGAAGCCTAGCAAAGATTCTTGGCTACTGAATGAAGTATATACACTTTCTTCATTACCACAATTCCTGATCATTTCTTCTTGAATTTCAACCTCCCAACCATTAAATTAAGACCTCAGTGACATCCATGTATCAGAAACTTGGCAGGGAGAGGGTCTAGGGGCAGATTTGGGTAGACTCTAGAATGGATACTGTTGATTATATATACACTGAAAGAGGATGGAGGCTGTAATTCTAATGCATAATGATTTGAGGTCAGAAGAGAGATTGTGAAAACTCCATCTTCCTACAGACTTGCAAAATCTAGCACAATTGTTATATATTTTTTTATCACTTTTCTAGCAACTTCCACAGCTTAAAAAAATATTATTCCTATATGCTGTACCTGGACATAAAAAAAAAACAGAAATTCCATAAAAAGCTTCAGCTCCAAGCAGGAAAATATTTAAATGCGTGTTTCGCTTTACCCACACACAGGGTTCCAACATTTCACAATTGAATTTGGCACCCATGGGGCTGAATATACCTTCAAAGTAGAGCGTTTATTAAGAAAGGTGCCACTTTTGTATCACGTTTCAGAGTAAATTTGGCTTCGGAGATGAGTAATTCAGGCAAGCGCGGCGAGCCTCGCGCAGCACAGAGCCGCATGTGTTAGTCTGCTATTTCCTCTGAGCGGTGAGAACAGAGGTGGGAGGCAACACATGGTGCAAACGCCACTGCAGAAGCGAGGACGCCACAAATTTGGAGGTCGGAGCCGCAGAGCTCCTTCTTCTGCCGTTAGCCGAGTCGCAGATGTGATGCCAGGCTTCATCCAAGGGAGCTGATGATTCGTGTAGGCTGCCAGCCCGTTGCAACAGTTTTATCATTTGGAGAAATAAACCCTGGGACTGCTCTCCTGGAGCGCATCCGTTGAGAGCTTGTCGACAAGTGAAATGGGCTGAATTTTGGAGGCACAGAGCATTGACTCCAAAATGTCCGTAGATGCCACTCTATCACCTCAATAGGTACCTGCAGGTACACTAAAGTCCTTGTTTGTTATTGCAGATTTGTGTGTTTGGGAGTATTTCTACAGAGTTAAACTTTTATTGGTCAGTGGTCTTTTTTTTTTTTTTCATGGAAAATATGCAGAATTGGGATCATCTTAAAAGAGGAAAAAAGAGGCCCAAAAAAAGGGTAATACGAAGTAATTTTGAAAGTGAAACACATACTGCATTTCTCTCTCTGGTTTTCCAATATTCCTTCTGTTATTTTCCATCTCAAGCTTTGTGAACAAATCTTCTTGTCTTATTACCAAGTGCAAAGATAAAAGCAATATGAGAAAGCCAGCCTTTCTGGCTGAAACAGTGCTTTACTGCTGTTTATCAATCTTATCCCTAGACTCACAGCACCTTCATTTAATAATGCACCTAGAAGTTTTTTGAAAATATTCTGTTCTTACAACCATTTTTATATGCTGCTTAGTGTCATTGCAATGTGAGTATTTGTATAAATACAAATAAGCACATATGCCACTGTTTTTAAGACTAGGGATACTTGGAAGCAAAGGTCTGGACAATCTGCTCACCTTCCCAGATATTGGGAGTGTTGGGGGTTGGATATGTAACTCACCCTAAGGAGAGATCCTTTGTTTAATGTCGAGTGCAATGCAAATAAATAAAGGCATGAATTCTTTATACTTTGATAAGTGACAAAATCAGCCTGAATTTGTAAAGCAGCAACTTTCCTGAAGAAGCATTACAAAATCCATAGATTACCTGTCTTCGAAGGTCTCGCGTTTTCTTGGTCATCTTGTCGATAGCAATGTTCAGTGGGTCCCCCTTCTCCTTCCGCCCAGTCTGTTTTAAAAGAAATTATGAAGTTAAAGGAGAACATCCTCCAAAACATGTATCTTTTTTTAACAGTACAGATATATGAAAAGAAATCTATGCATTGCTTTTTATTTGCTTCCATTAAGCCTTTATTTTCAATGCCATGTTTTAAACATGTTTATGCATGGGGGCACTGCAGATTATTTTAAAACAGCCCTAAAACGATAAGACGAAAGATTAAGGTGACTCACTGGAGAGTTCAGGACTTTTCCACCAATATATTATGTGCATATATTATAGCCCGTGCTCCAAAAATCTGGCGAGACCTTTCAGTATAAAACGAATATTAAGAGTCTCTAATCTCCAGCCTGCCAGGCACCAGGACTGTTAAACATGATAATAAGCAGCAACACAGCTTGAGGACAGAAGGAAAATGGTCCTTACGCCTGCGACAGGACACATAGCAGCAGATGTTAGGTGCAGTATAAAGATGACTTCCACTTAAAACACTTTCCTGCAGGAAGGCTCAAAGCAAAAATCCTCATGAAGACTAAAAAGGGTGGAAAAAAATAAGTTTTGTGGCTCACAATTTATGAAAAAATATAGTTTGTAGGTAGCACAGTGCGGAAAGCTTGAAGTGACTTTGTCAGCTACATGACAGAGAGGACTAAAGGTTCATAAAATCTCTTTGCACATTGAACTCCCTTTGATTGCTCTTTAACCAGAATCACAATGTTCATCCATTCTTCCTGCAATGCCCGTTCTTGCCCAGTGCTTTTTAAAAACTCTTCCTATTTAGAATTGTTCTGTGCATCCGATTAAGAATGATTTGCTAATTCCAGCTGAGCTTAGTAGCCTATGCTGGGATCAATGGAGAACTCCCCTTTGGGTGGGGTGCCCGTTACACCTGCCCTATCACTAATGGTCTTGCAGTGCTCCACTTTAACCATTCATTTCAGTGAATGTAATTTTAATTACATGTGTAATTTTAATTACTATACGAGGCCTAGGCATTTATGAGCATTTGGATGAATGTAAAACCCCCTTTTTTTCTTTAGAAATTCAGACATAACAATACCAAATGCTCACAGCATTTAGTATAAACCATAAAATTCCCTCTTAGCTATCTAACAAGAACCTCTTACAAATTCACAGAAGTTAACGACGCAAACTGACACCGGAAAGCAGAGAGAAAAAAAATATTTTATTCAAGAAGATGCATCCCTGTAACCTGCTTATGCTCCCTCTTCTTGCGCTTATCCTTAAAGAGAGGTCTGCTGGTCCCCTGATAATAAACTATGGCTCTTCAGCCTACACACTTGCAGCACGTCCTTTTGGGTTTAGATGTCCTGAAATCAGTCCCTGGTATGTTGTCCAAGGCAGCAGCTGTCATACACACACACAGTCTATAGCTTTGCAGGCTGAAATGCCACAGTAAAAATGAGACAGCCTGGGGCAGCTACGTCGGGTATTGCAGGGCCATCCTCACTGTTGAAATGCTGCAGCAGATGAACTACTTTCAGCCAGGTTCCTGGTCTGCTTGGCTATAATGTTTTATTCTAAAAAAAATTCAATTACTCTGGCTGCGTGCTGTGGGCTAGCTGCAGCAAGTATCCTTGGCAACATTAGCGTTTGAGGATGCTTCATTTCCCAGTCAAATAATTTAATTTCTGTAATATTGTTTAAATTCTTTCCTTCCTTCTCAGTATTTCAGCTTTGATCCATACACCTACAGGAAAATCTGCCACCACACAGAATATTTTAGGATATTTATTTCTGGGGCAAGGATGGCCTTTCTTTTTTCCCCCCAAAAAACAGAGCATGGTTTGACAAGAGGTGCAAATTACAGTGAATACTAACACAATGTGAATAATTAAAAAGCAAAACCCATGGCATTTAAGGTATTTTGGTTATAGTTATCAAACAAAATAACTAGCTAACAATTCTTCTCTGAGCTTGTGCAGGACAAATGTAACTTGCACTCACCACTTGCAAGATCAAGCACTTATACAACTCTTTGAAGGGTCATTGCCATGGGAAGCAATGCTAGTGAATAAATCAGGCACCTGATAAGTTTAGGAGCAAAGACTCCCTACCTTGCCTGAAAGGTAAATGGAGGAAGGACAGAAGTTTTGAGAGACTGAGTCAGAATATGGGAGTTAGGCTTTCAGCTTAGCCTTTTCTGAATTGGTCTTTGGCCTTTGGAGAAAACTGATAGACAGAGCCAGCATCTTACATCTCAACCTCTTATATTTAGCATCAAAGCCCCTTTTCACATTTATCCTATTGCTCTTTTTGTCTAGTTTTAAATTGCATGAAGAGTGACCCATTAGGTACACCCTACTGCTCAATAAAAACAAACTGGGGACCACTTGGTGGCCCTTAGACCACCCAACACGTCCATCTAGCCAGACACTTTTCACTCCAAAGTAGAGAAAAGCCTCATCTATATTATTTATTGAAAAGCATCCCTACTCCATGCAATTGCCCAAACCATGCCTATGCCAAATCTGAGATGCTAACTGGTCTGAGCCAATGCTGGGGAACGCGCTGCCAAACAACCTGGACTCAGATCCAGCTCTTGAGCCTCTCCATAACAGTATTTTCTTGAATCATTATGAATACAGCTGAAATCTTAGAGGCTGTGCTCCTGTGCTGCATGATTATTTGTTCTACAGGAATTTTTGGTGTCCTTTAGCTTGAATGCACATCACCTGTTACTTGTAAAGTGTTTTTTTGCTTTATATTCCTGTTGCAAAACCCTTCCTTCACTGTGTAATTTCTAAAAAGGAGAAATTTGTTTAGTAAATCACATTATTGGAAAATAAATAGCATGGCATGTGATGTTGCATAGCTTCAGGCAGGTCTGTCAAACACCATCTGCTCTGTGCTGAAAATATAAGTTTATTAAAGTTTATTTATTTAAGTCCTTAAATATGCTTATATTAATGTTGCTCAGTGCTAAATTTTCGGCCTCCATTCCTAGAAGAGATGGAAAGGATTTAGCAGTTTCCTGTGTTTTTGGGAAAAAAAAAAAAAAAAAAAAAGCTTGCATTAAACCTCATGTAATTTCTCTGTTAAGCTTTTTGTATGACGGGAAGAAAGATTGGGGGCGGGATAAAAAGGAAGTAAAAAGGAGCTCCTGGCATTGGGACGATAGGAAAGAAAGAAAAATACATTTCATTCCTCGAATGTGTTGGCCAAAATATCGGCATTCAGAGCTCCTACATCTACACTCGTGCCAACTCATGGCATAGGAAGGAGAACTTTTTTAATGGGAGAATAGCCTAATTATTGAATATCCTGACCGTGAGTGACTGCTAACAATGTTTGCATGCTGCTTTTTTTTTTTTTATTCAGCATATTTCCTGATAATTCTCCCAGGCCATGTTACTGCCTTCCTAGTTTCCTTAGAGCTTTTCCCTGCCTGCCTGATTTATTTTCAGCTTATCAGGAAGAGCTAATTTCAAAGGGCTGCTGGCCAGGGGCTGTGCTTCCTACGCAGTCTGCTAGGTCAAAAAGGGATTTCCATTACAGTTCTGCCCCAAGGCTGCAGCCTCATTCCCTGGGCCAGCAAAGTGAGATCCAGCTGCCTGGATTTATTTTTCAAGCATTTTTTTAAGCCCGATTTGCCACTTGCATTTAGAAGTTGAGTAACTTTTCAGCATACACATGTCCAGTTAATAAGGACCTGGAGAAATCAAATTACCATCATTTTGTTGTAAGAAATGCCTAGTCTCAATCACTGACACCTATATTTCCTAATCTATAGAACAAATAAAGAATATAAGCACTGTGCTCCCTATATTAAATGAAATCTAAAAAGCCCCAAAGAGAACCTGTGTAATATTAAGGCAAGTGCATAGTTAGATTAGGAACTCCAATCTCATTTAGTTTGGAAGGGAAATAAATAGAGTAATAACCAAGACCACATAATTATGTTAAGAAATTTCACCATCTGCCAGAATGATCTTTCCTAAGATAAAGCACTGTTTTCCCTTTTAAAAAAGATTTCTTTTTCTCCCTCCTCTTTTTCCTTTGCATGAGCTGTTCACAGCTTATATTGCTGCAGTAAAATAAAACTCTCTCCAATATTTTCACAACTATTGAGGACACGTATATACCCAAACTTGCTCATTAGGAAATTCTTTTGACCAGCATGAAGTACTTACAGGATTTTTGTTTTCAACCCTGGAGAGCATCCCAGAATCAGGAAAAGGCCAATCAGGCCAATCAGCCTAGAGACACAGTGACTTTGGGATGAGACACAGACACTGTGGAAAGAAGATGCTCTCGACCAGAACCCTCCTGCCAGTTTTGAATACTTCTAGATACCCTGAAATGGAAATCGTAAGAGTTCAGAAAACTTCTGAACTTTCAGAACATGGAATGCCTAAAATTGCTACCACTATTAGAGGGAGGGCTTAGTATTATGATAATGAATATTCTTACGTGCACAGAGGGATTTAAAAGGATTAGCTACAGTCATATAAGATGCAAAACCATTGCTCTGAACACGGTGTTACGTTATTATGTTATTATGAACAGTTAATCTCCTTTTTCAGGAGATGGATGACCGGACTTGACAACAGTAACCTACAGGAGGAAGGGAATGGAGTGCAGAAATAACATCTCATGTACAAAGGCCATGTATATGAACCTAACGAGAGAGACTTGGGAACAGTTCGTAAGAAAATTAATTTCCTTTTCTTTTAAAATGCCTAGTGTAGAAGCTCAGTATGACTTGTCAATTATCACTGTTTTTGTTTGTTTGTTTTAAAAAAAAACTGTGCAGGACATTTTGGGACCACTGTTTTCACATGTTCCTCTGTCTTCCCATTGCTTAAGGTATAAGCCAAAATGCCTAGGAGAGCTCAGGGTGTATTACAAGTTGCATGTCCAAGACTTCCTCATTGTCATTTATAGAGTAATTTAGCCTCTAGGAGACAGGTAGAAAGATTATCTATTGATCCAAAAGCTACCGTGCTTTGAAATACTTTTATATTTTCATCATCCCCTAGGTAGAT